AGAGAGAGAGAGAGAGAAAGAGGGTGAGCGAGAGAGAAGCTCGATGTACAGGTGGGAATGAGAGGCTCGGTGTATGTGTAGCCACGGTCTCTGCTAGCTCGCATAACGATGTTTTCGCTGCTAAGGTAGTAAATGTTTTAATCGCCGATATTTCGAGCTGAATGATTTATTAGAAAAAGGTAGCGTACGTCGCCTCGATATATACAATACTATGTTTTCGTAAATAAACGAAATTGTTGAAAACATATGGCACAATAAACAGACAGAATCGATCCACAATCCACTGTATTGACTCAATGAAAACCCTGCGTTTACTGATCATATAGTGGCGTCTGTCGCAGCAGGATAAAATATATACACATCCGTGCCACTATACGTTTTGCTAGTTTTCTACACCTTTGCTAGTTTTCTACACACTTTGCTAGTTTTCTACACTCTCTCTCTTTCCCATTACATGAGCGACAGTGGTGACTTACTTGCCGAAAGTTGGTGCTGAGGAACCCGGCTGTAGTCGTCAGCGAATGCCCGAATGAGGTTGTTGTTGAATGTTCCCCTCTCCGTCTGACTACAACCTGCAACACCGAAAACTCGCCGTTGATTTATATGCAATGATTACAGGCATTTTAATACATTCACTTACCCGTGTGTATTCTGCCATAACCGGTGCCGCATTAACGACATTACAGTCCGGCGTCATTTATAGCATTTGATTCTGTTTCGTGGGTGATCGAATAACTGTTTCCATTAGGGCCCTGGGCTAACACATAAGCGCTAAACGACATGTGTTGGCCACGGCGTATAAACGGTAGTATTTATTTGCCTTTCTGTCGTTTTTTGTTCGCGGCTGCACCGTCTGTCACGTGCGTCGGAGTGGTAGTGTCTGACGCTCGTAGGCGGCCGGCCGGCAATTCACCCGACACGTCGATGTCTAAGTACTCCTCTCTGCCGAGGTTTACTCCTCCCGTATCTCCTGCTACTGCGCCTTCTACTTCCTCTTCCTCTTCGCCGTCGTTCTTCTCAATTCCCCGTCTCTGTGTCGATGATTCTGAAATTAAATTTGAGGTAGATGATTTTGTTTTGCATTCCCAGTAATCAGCGGAATATATATGAGCGTAATCATTTCGCTTTTGGGCGCAAAGAACGTAAGTTCATCCGGGTACTTAATCTGAGTATTCGATAATACCCGGGGTTAATAATGACAAATAAATAATGTCATTATTAACCCCTAATAATACGTACCACCGCAAACGGGTTTCCTGTACTGCACGGAAGTTCCGGGCACCGGTTTTCCTTCCGGCGTAACGCACCAGCAGTATCCGGTGGCACTGTGGCATTGTACCTCCGCGTAGGTTCCGTCCGTTTTACAATCCGGAATGAATACTCCCAGCTTCGGTTGCCTGGCCATCTTTTGTGCGTGCACTCTTTCGAAGAAACACCGGGAACTATCTGGAATTACAAAAAGGCTTCGTCACGATCAAGCAGTGACTAATCCTCGCGCTTAAAATGCTTACGTCACCGTAAATAGTAAAAGTGAAAAAAAGTCCAGTTTTTCACAAAATGTATGTAATTCTGTTCACTTTTTATGGTTAAATTGCGGCATTATACTTCCTATTTTGCTATTCCGTTCGATGTGAACAAACACTCGTGATAGCCCATAGCAAGCATTGAATGTCGTGAACTAGTTGAATAACAATCTTATCAGGTAAGAATTTGAGGCTACATTTAGTGCCGGTAGTACTTACTTTTCATGTAAAAACATGCAACAAAGGTTTTACAGATATACACCATAGAAAATTCGTGACGTAGTCAATTTAATATGCCCCTGAAATGCGAGCGTATTTTTCTCCCGGTCGTCACGTTGCATCACACTGCCGCCGTGGCTGTCATCGTTGTCGCGTGTCATGTGTTCGCGATTTCGCGAATCTTTCTCGGAAATATATATATGAGAAACATTTAACTCGCGCATTCATGTGTTTTATGACAGTTAAGGAGTGTTCGTACTTTTAAGTAGGTGTCAAGAGCACACAAACTATTTAGCAGTTTATGTACTCTCGGTAATATATAGTCTTCATATAAAGCTTCGGACTATAACGGCAGGATATGTTCTACATTTCTATAGAGCCATGGACGCACTATTTATGATATTGCTGAGTTCCTATATATTAATATTAACGTAAAAACCGAAGATGTTAACTATATGTACATGCATGTGGCTTAGCGTTATGTTATAAAGGTTATTTCGGAATCAAGCCTTTGTCATTTATTTAAGATCAGTATTATGACAAGCTCGAACGAATTAGAAATCATGTATGTCAGTGCCGTAACCACGTCGAATTTGCTGAAATAAAATATAGGTCTAGAGCAGCTGCAAGCTATGTAATTTATCACGTGACGTCGTAACCCACGGCAATGTACATTTAAAGGTCAACGAAATACTACTTGCAGCGTTATAGCGGCTACAAAGCACTTGAACTTCGCTGTACTTATTCATTGTACGTTATTGTACGTCATTGTACGTTAACGTTGTACGTTATTGTACGTTCTTATTCATTGTACGTTATTCATGTCCGCGCAAATGCTCGCGTGGAAGAATAACGACGCACAAGAAGGAAATAACTATATTTTAGGAGAAATATTTTTCATTTGCGTCTTTTGCTATCTCTCTTCACAGCGTTCGCGGCCGTGGGCGCGTCAGTGATGGACTTCGCAGCAACAATGCGCATGCGTGGGAACAGCATTGATGCGGCCATAGATGCGGCCCACAATATGACGGTCACGAATCGTAAGGCTACTTAATTCCGTATATCGCGCACCTTTACGTAACCATCAGCGCCGCGGCTGCTACCGCCCGGCCTAATAGTAAACTGACGTTAAACAGAGTCTGGCAAGTATATGTGAAGCGCGACGTATTCGTGTTTTGCACCGTTAATCATTATAATTTATGAAGCTATACTATATACGCTGTCGATGGGTGTCAAAACCTAATATGCCAACGATATTTGCAAACGCTGACGTGTTAACGTTAGGAAACAAAATCCCACTACATTGACTCTTGTTCATGTCGGCATTCAAATCGGCCGTTTTGAATGTATCAGCATGCCTACTTATGCGCTTTACGAGACCGGCAGAATTATCCAGATTTAATTACGGATTTTATTATCTTATTATCACTCGAACAACGAATTCAATTATAAGACTTTTTCACTATACTATAATATCATAAAATATTCATTAATTATCATATTCAATCTATGTCAACATGTAGTGATGGTAGTGCGGTAGAACCTTTCCCGTTCCCGGGACTCAACTATAAAAGCAATGCGAATATATAGATATATATTATATATAATATATATATATATAATATAATATTTTCACAGTTATCTTTTTACTAGTTTTTATTTTTTTTAAGCAAAAAGATTTCGGTAGACACATTATACCTCTAACCTTTTACCCTCTACCCTCTACTTTAAAGAGCCAATAGTCAACTTCGATGCCTCGCATGCCCGCTCGGAAATAACTCAACAAATATCATGAATCTTTAGATAAAAATGTCGGAATAAAATTGTACGTTTGTAGGTCATGTGTTAAGATAGAAACGGAGAGGAATATGACGTGTGAGTGGAAGCGGTGTCGTGGCCTGATGCGTGGTGAGACTCACCCTCGCATTTTCCTTTGTGAGCCATCTCCACTGCGTCACCTTCGCAGCGTTTTCTGTGTATATCACACAGAGATGCATAGGTTCTGCCATCACTGCCACATATCGGCCGCTGCCTCGCCCGCGAGCAATCCAGCTGACATTCAGCTGTCAAGGGCAACTGAAAGGACGAAGTCATATTACCATGTTAGCTCTTGTACGCGTAAAACCTTCTCGCTTGCGGCATTATGCAATTCATAATATACAGTACAGTGAAAGCAAAGAATAGCCGATGTAAGAGATCAAAAAGACAATTTAATTAGAATTTTAAATGGAAGTATTTTGTGTAAAATATAAGAAAGCCAGCCATACGTACTCGCGCCTCTCACAACCAGCTGATGTCGGTTGATGCGTTGATAGATAGAAAACGGACGATGTGCAAAGCCATACAGTTTATTTTAAATTTTGGCACAATTTAGCTAACACACGACATTTCCACTACTAGTCTACACGATTATTCTACTCCACTACGAAAATATGTCTATATATAATATTAAGAGCGCATAATAGAGAGGCTTGATAATATGCTTCTAAAAGCGTTAACGCTGCTTCGCGAATTAGCAGACGGTAACTTTCTATAGCTACTGCCATCATATCATACGGTTGTTGCCGGTCTAGTCATGATTCATCTAGAATTGACGGGAGCACGTTCGTATACCGCACGCGCCATCGAGCTGCAGGTTTTGTCCATTACTGCGTGTTTATTCTATTCTCAAATTGGCATAACGTCAATGATATTCTTGCGCGTGTTTCTCTTAGAGATCTTTTATATTTTTGCTTTATGTGTATATACTCTTTGTATCTCTATACGTTTAAATAATTTTTTCAAACAGCGATCGAGTAGTCTATCTAGTAGTCTAGCGCGTGTCGCTATATAGTACGGGTATATAAACGATACGAACTTTAGGTGTTTTTTTATTTGCATTGTATAAATCATAATGAACACACACACACACACACACACACACACACACACACACACACACGGACTCATGCCTTGCGCACACGTGCATCAAAAATCAACGATCTAGTGCCATATAGATGCAACAGTTATAAGCTATCGGGTGCACACGAATTGTCACACAGAGCACACAACTGTGCGCGAACAGGATGTGTAAGAATGCAAGCTATGGATGCCGAAAAAACACAACAGTCGAGCCTACGGATGCTCGAAAGAGCCACTCGGGTACCTTCTCTCAGCTTAGGACCTTCGCTGTAGGCCGGCGATGACACATCCGTTTCGTCTGAGTTTAGGGATAAAAACAAGCGAAAAGAAACTACATTTGCAAGCGTGACAGGTACTGTGATCGTAAAGCCTTAACTAATATTGCACGTCGCCCGGAGTGACTTGTCGCCTGTTGCTGTAAATATTGCTCCTAAATGGGGAGTAGTTATGTTCTAGAGTATCCACCCACTAGTTATCAAGCGCTGTAGTAGGACATATTTAGGCGCTGGCTTCAAAACGCGCCCCATGGTATACATATATATATATATATATATATATATATCACATACTAGCAATCAAGATTCGAATTATTTATTTAACCACATAATTTCATAATACCTGGATGACATCGGCATGTTATTATGTTAAATTTGTTCATGTTTATATAAAATAGACGGAATGATGACAGACCATGTGGCCAATCATGGCGTCTCTTTGATGTCAAATGGAATCTACACAGTAGTCTGTCACGTTAAGTGCTCAGATTTACAATTCAAACGATACGTTTTAAAACGTAAAACGTATATTTTGCATAATACACGTATGAAATTATGCAGGCATTTGCTAACATAGCGGGATTTCGAATAAATGCGCTCGGCAACTAATGACCATGCAGTTACATAAAAGGGCGTTATTGTGTGGACTGAAGAGAAGGGTGTGGATATCACGACAATTATTATTATTATTATTATTATTATTATTATTATGATAATGATGATGATAATAATGATGATTATTATTATTATTATTATTATTATTATTATAATAATTATATTATTATTACGATGTTGATGATTATAATGATGACGATGATGGATTGCAATATTGTCGTAATTGAGCCAACGTCGAACAGCGATCGTATAAGCGGTTATTCTTATCCTAGTCTGTATACATATACCCTATATATCCACAGCATACGCGATCAGGAGTCTATCAATATTGATCGACTCCTGACACGATGAGGTACGGCTTGCAAATTAACGGGCTTTTTGTTTCGCGCAGTATGATGTTCCCCATTTAGGAGCGAATATTGTACAGCATATGTGAGCAGGCTAGAGTCGTGAATCTGAAAAGTCAACGATTAAATAATTCGACTGCACACATTCTCTCACCCTTCGCACCCCCGCGCCTGCACACGTACACACAGGCCAGCGCATCCATGCACACACACACACACACACACACACACAC